ACCTGAGAGTGAACTCTTGGCCCTTTTGATTGGCTGTCAACACCTTCTGCAGAGACTCATGCCAAAGTAACATATTCTTTTAGTGCAGGGGTAAATTAGTGGAGACCACTTGTGCTCTACCAGGTCTATTTCCTATGTATGTATGCATCAGCTTACATCCGATACAAAAATATTAATTCCATTTTTAAACCCTGTGCTTTTAATAAAAAAAAAAATAGACATATTACTGTGTGTTAAATGTCATGTCCTGGTGGCCTGTGTGAAACATGCATCTGCCTCTTCATGCAACAATTATGTGCTAACAGAGATGCTAACTGACCTGCATGCAGCATTATAAAAAAAAACACATACACATATTCATCCTGACTAAAACATGTAAGTATGCAAATGTATGCACATTTATTAGAGCCGGTCCTCTTTAGACATATTGCAACGATTTAAATATTCTAACTGTGCTAAATTTGCTCTTCAGTGGTTACCCATGTATGGAATCAGGCACAAATGCATAACTTGGAACTTTCATCTTCAGACTTGTTAAAACATTTTTCAGCCTTTCCTAATTAACCATTAAACCAACTTCGCCTGCAGATCTGCAACCACTCTCTCGTGACAGCCAGTTAATGAACGGCTGCGGTGTAATGGTGTTAAAGCAGAACGTATGCGGTCACCAAAGTTCAGCCCAGTCTCTCTGTCCTCAAGACACAGAACAATTCTCTTTTTACCTTTTTTATGCTCATCCCACTGTTTCTTTGGCATATGAGCAGAGCTGCTGGTGGGAGATGGAATTAGGCTCCTTCATTAGGGGAGATCACTCCATAGAAAAGCCTTTGCTTTGTGTTGGTAGAGAGCTTGTGGACTTGATATAGTTTCTGCATTTATTGACATCTAAACACCATTTGGCTTGGAATAAACAATGATGATTTATTCTCTTTAAGGAGCTCAGGTCGACTAAACTGTATTTTTTTCTCACAAAACACTTTTTCCTCATATTTATCAGACTGCTTTTCTGTGACTGCGATCACATCTCTACAATGAAGTGCTTTGTTGTAGGAAATTGTAGCCTCAATATATATATTATTGGTATATTTAAACAAATGTCAAATAGGCATTTTTATGGAAAGGAAGATGACTTGCAATTATCTGCTTTAAGATACCAAATATTGGAAAAAATTACAAAATATAAAACAAGTTACATGTTAAGAATGGTAAAAATAACAACAAAAATTATCTACAAACTAACAAATAGATTGAGATCAGCTGTTGTACTTTAATTTCAGTTTAGCTTTTTTGTGAAGACTTCAGATTCGTTGGAAATAATTTTCCATTAGCATAATAAATACATTTGACGTATAACAATACATTTAAAGCAGGGTTACATTTATAACAGTGTCTAATGAATGGAAGATTTCACTGAGCATTCCTCAGTAGGTCAACCTATACTAAATGATTATCATCTACCAAAAACTACAGGCCAGGAAAGAAGATCACAGTCATGAGCCTGGAGGAATTACAGAGATAAATGGGTTGTGTTTGAAAAAATGGCCAACATTAACTTTGCAATATCTAAAACAGGCCAGGCCTGTTTTAGATATTGCAAAGTTATGCATGAATAAAGAAATCTTAGTTGTTCTTAGTTGATGAAAAGCCACAAAGGAAAGACATCAAAAACGGAACAAAGTGCTTGGCAGATAATCCCAGAACTGAACTTTATGTGTTACTGCTTGGTAAAAAAAAAAATGTTGCTACCTGGTATAAACTAGGCAAATACATACAAACCTAAAACCGGATAATTACTGTATGCCTGATTATGTATCCCAGGGCTCGATGTTAACCATCGCCCAATCTCCCGGGGCAAGTAGTTTTTATTGTTGGGAGAGTACAAATTTCATTGCATTTGCCCGCCGGGCAAGTGCAATGACCGCAAAAAAAATTATTTATCACTCACAGTTACTTTAAAATCACCGACATTTAATGATAATGACCCAGAAGCGTTGCCGGCGGCATTTTTGTTGTTTTGTACACATTCTCGCGTGATGTGAAAAAGCTGTGTGATTTTCCGCCAGATGGCATGATTTTTGTCCAAGAATTGGTGCGAATCAGACACATTTTGTTCGCTCCACCCATTTCACCCACCACCCAGATAACCCTAGATCAAAATTTATGGGTCAGGGATTAGGTAAATTGGCATAATTGTATGCCATGCGCACAGTGTAAATATGGCTTTCATAAGGCAGTCTTACAGTGATGCAGGTCAGACATTAAAAAAAGGTTCATTAAATGTTTTTCTGTTAGACATTGGAGAGGTGCATTTAAATGTTATAGAACTAAACATGTTAAATTGGTGACCTGTTATGTTATTATTGTCTTGTTGCTGCATTTATTTTGTCAGGGA